CTAAACATTTGATGGTTAAACAAATTTTATGAGTACAAACCACTCAAGTCTTGATTAGTTACTACTACTCTAATAATTATTACATTATTATACATAAATATGTTTATTGTATATTAGTTTATATTACTTTGTATACGTTGACATAGCTACCCGACGCTTTGATCTAGGTTTAGTTGTTTATTTATACGTTTATACTATTCAAATTATAATTAATTTTGTGCTAGATATTTTAGGTTTTTATTGATGTGCAGACACGCTCGTCATGAAATATGAACAAGTATATAAAACACTCACTTACGGCGACCAGAATAAGTTTATTTTAACTATAAAAACTAATAATAATAATCTGACTGGTATTATTTATTTTTTTTAATAATAATTAACGTCTCAACATTTTAGTACGTTTGATTAGTATAACTTACGTCGATTCCTAACGTTAAGATAGTGTTTTACTTAATATATTATCTGGAATATTTTATAATCGTTTTTTCATCCATTGTTTTAGGCGGGGCTAAGCTCCCTTGGTCATCTAGGGTGTTCTGCAGTGAAATTCTCGGAGAAAAGGGCTTAGCACTATTCAAAAGTAATTTCACCGCCGCGATAGGGCTCCCGGAGTGGATTGTGAAATTTATGGATAAACCCTTTCAATAGTTTCAAAAAGGAATAGTACTGCTCATCAAAAGGCGGTCAGGGGACTTGGCTTCGTACGACGTTGATTACCGCCGACACTAGATCGGATCCATGGATTGTGGACAGTGGTAATCAAACTGTCTCCTGTCGTGGGGGATACGTGCGAAATGTGATGAAAACGCTCGCCCGGACAGCTAACTCATGCGCCAGGGTAACACGGATGGCGGCTTCCATCAACGCGATCTGTCTGTGCGAAATACCGGCTGTGCACCGTGCCGCGGAACCAGCAGACGATCATAATTCACTGCAAAACCTTCATCCGAAGCCCGCGGAGGGATGGTTGGTCGGTCCACGAGTTGGCCATCCCGTGGGTCGAGGTGATCGCTCATGCGACGCCTAGGTAATTTGTCATGTCTCACACTAGTCCCGCCCGAAACACCTTGCCAACCCGGGGTCAAAAGCGGTACGGAAGGCCAGCTGGGCAGTGACGGCGGCACTTCGATGTTGCCCGTAATAAGTCAGTAAGTGGCGTGATAACGTCTGGCCTACCGGGACTAAGTCCTACCAATGGCAGCTTACCAATGAACGGTGCGACGGGAGTCGCGGTTGCCCTGGTAGTCATGTGTCCTACGGGATTAGCCTAGTTCATCCGCAGACTGCTGGTTGGATTCATTAGGGCTCAATTTTTGCTGAATGGGAACCAGACGAAGACCTATCGTCTGGGTCCGTACTTTGTTATCCCAGTACGGACCCAGACCTATGACGATCCAGTCAAATTGACCGAAACCCTGTGGCTTGTAAATAGATCCACAGAGCTAATACACAGTCCGCAGCAGTAGCGGCTACGGTCACAAATCGGATATCACTGTTTCATTCATTGTTTATTTGTCTTTAGATAAGCAAACTTCCCTAGTAACTTGTAGCTAGTTGATTGGACAAATAATTGTGTAACAAATTCGTAGCGAAAAAATGTTTACGCTTGAATACGAAGCTGATGTTTGTATCTTTTATTAATTATTCCATAAATGAGTATATAGGTAATTGTTATTTGTTAGCCATTTAATTGTATTGCTGCTTAGTAGTACCATTGATTATAAATACCAGTATTTATAATCAATGGTAGTACCTAGGTACGACATACCTACCGTTAAATATAATTTATTGTCAAAAACAATTGTTACGCTAACTTCGGTCAACAGTTAGCCTCACTTGTATGAAGCTAATCCTTTTTTGAATTATAATCTCAAAACGATTATACAGAAACAAAAATTATTATCGACTCACACATTAAAAAATTATAACTTGATAAAAATTGATAATGTATTGAGTTTTTTTTTTTTTTTACTATATAGTATATACTGACATTATCTTGCTTCTGTTTAGTATTATATTAATAATCTGGTTATACTATTAACATACAAACAAATTGACAATATTCAACTTTAAATAAATTATTCATTGATAAAATACTGCTAGCAGTCAAATATAAAAGTGATATTTTCAATAGAGATTTAATTTAAAAAAAAAAATTAGTTTTTGTAAATTATTTGAAAAAAATGAGCAGTGAATCAAATAGAATCATATACCAATATTAATTTACCTACTTTATTAATAGTTCACCAAGTATATTATTATTAAACTTGGTGAACTAATATATTAATTTACAAAAGCCATCCACGATATCAGTCAGAGGTATCAGTCACTGTATCTCTTATACAGTTCCGCAAAAACCAGGTGTGCAGAGTGTGGCGCGCACACGGGCCCCTAGTCACAGCCTGAAATAAACTACACTTTACAAACACACAATTATTTAATAAAAACAATTTTTTTTTTAAATTCAGGTAAAGTTGTTATAATATTTTAGAATAATATAATATTTATTTAACAATGAGTTAATTGAGTATTTGAGTAGGCATACAACATACCTACCTAAATTACTTAAATAAATTTTCTACATAAATATGTAATGAAGTATAATATACAACAGTTTAAGGTATTTAGTTTGATATATATACATACATCATACATTAACTGATGTGAAACGTGTTTTAAAACCTAAAAAAATTGATACTTAAATTGAACAAAAATAAATCCTAGGAAGGGGCCCAATATAAATACCATACACGGGTCTCCTATTTTGTAGTTGCGGCACTGTTCTTGTAGCTGTTTATAAAGTAAATGGATTTAACCTAATTACAATAACAATTCGTTAGTTGTTTGTTTATACATAAAGATTGACTTTTTTTATGTTATTTTTGTTTAAAATAATTTTGCAGACCTTTGTGTACTTTTTTCGCAATTGTATTTTATAAATTATTATTGAAAAAATACATTATCGTATCAGTGAACTCATAGGCGCGGATCCGGCTAAGACCCCTAAACTAAGATGTTGCTCCCCGAAAAATCCAGGACATAACATTTCATAATATTATATTGTAAAATGTAAATGTACACAATTTGTAACATTTTTATATTTACATATATTATATATAAGATTAGATGGAATAGTTTCTCAGGCCGCAACAAACCTAGTGCTAAAATATTACCGGGCCGCAATTCACCGGTCATCGACATCGTTAATGACATATCGGGCTGAAAATTAATAATAGTCATATTAAGGTCCTTCACAGGGCCGGCGGAAGGGTGGCAGTGAGGGCTAGAGCCCCGGAGCCGTACCTCCGAGAAGGTCCGTCTTCTTAGTCTTTTTTACAGAATTATATTATAATCTCATTCGCCGTAGCATGAGATGCAAATTTGAATATTTTTACTAAAGTATGTACAAGAAGTATGTATACTTGGCCAGTCAAGTGTAAGAGAAGGGGGTCATGAACCGATCAGTCCTGGGGCCTTCAAAAGTTCTCACCGGCTCTAGTCCTTCATAGAATTAGATACTCCCTAAACGCACGATTCCAGTTAATAGGCGATAGGCTTACAAAATATTTGACATGTGTATTACTTTACGCGGGCTATGTGGCCTATGGTTAATCATACTATGTATTTATAATACTATTATGTCTATATAGAATATACATTTATAGTTCTAAATTTTAAAATCATTTATTTATTGTTAATTGTAAAACATTTAGCTTATGGAATATCCAAGTATTTTCCTGCGGCCATTTAGTGCGCTTATCTAAATGCATATGTATTTTTTCGACACGTGATCGTAATCATTACGCGAATAATTATTAGCGAATTTCGTAAATCATAATAGATAAATCAATTAATATCAAAAATATATCCTAAATTAAATTTTCTTTCCTACATGCGCATGCATTTTAGATATATTTTCAAAAACTATTGATTGACGTTTGTTAATTTTGTTCAAATTTTTATATTTTGAATAAATTATCTTTCCACGTCTACAAAAGTAATAGGTGCAACTTTAAAAATACATCATTTAGTTAAATTTGAAAATAAATCTTTGCCGGTTTGAATTGATTCACTTTTCCATTAAACATTTTCAAATTTTAATATGTTGTAGTTTTCATATTTTGATAATACTTTTCTAGATTTTCCATTAACAGATTTACCCCTTATATTACAATACCTAGTAAATATTTAAAAAATATTAAAAAAAAAAAAAATTAAACAAAAAAAACAACGAAATTTGTACTAAAAGATAAAACATGCAATTAAAAACGTAAAATAAGCCCTTAAAATAAAAATAAATGAGTGAATATCGAAATATGCAAAAATATTCTCTAAAAAAAAATTTGATTATTTAAATTGTTATATCTTAAAACAAATTTTGTGCTAACTTAGCATACCATACATATCATATGACCAACCAAAATATGCTTATAAATCCGCGCTCTACTTATTAGTCATTAAGTGCCCAAAATAATGATCATATTAAATTGACAACTAATAGGTACTCAAGTATACTAAATTTTCAATTAAATATAATAAAAGTAATTGGAACATTTTTTTTTCAATATTATTTATTCACATTCAAATGACATGTTTAAAAATACTCAATCAATTTAATTAAGGTTTTGTTTTTGTATCAACTTAATTACATAATAATACTTAGGTATTACAAATTATTTGAATAATTAAAAATAATATTATTTCAATAATAATAATTCTTAAACAGGTACAATAACTAAGAATATAAAATTAAACAATAAATGATACATTTTATATTTTTAACAGAAAGAAGGTAGAGACAAGACGTAATATAAATGTAAAAAAAAATAATAATACTATTTGTAATCAAATATGACGTTGATTATATTTCCCTCTTTAATGAGTAATTATTAACATTCTATATATAAATAATACGGATTGTCTTAATACATTATATGCAGGTAAATATAAAAATTGCAGTTTTAGTTCATATTTTAAAAATAATATACTATAAAAAATTTAATCAAAGTAGTTTAATATAATACTGTTGTAAGTCTATCATAGAGAGATTTTTAGGGTATATAGCCCTAAAAATGTAATACAATTTATATAAAAGTTATTATATCAATATTAATAATACATATAATTTTACAAAAAATATTGACTCCCCAATTTCCAACAAATCTACAACTACTAAGTCTATAATTGTTGGCAATGGATATAGAAAAATAAAATACTATTTCAAAAATGTTCATTTGATCAAAAAAATTACATTCCTGATTCAGCTATACCTTCGTCATCTGTAACATATAACAATACACATAAATATTTTAATTGAAAATCAATAAAAACTACAATTGCTTGTAATTACTACTGATTTAATCTCAATACTGAATAAATAAATCCATATATTAATATTATTTCATGGTTATAATCTTATTATCAAAATTAAAATATTCAAATCTATTTTTTAAAAGCAATTCAGTATTAATACAAAATAAAAATAAAAAACTATTAATTAAAAACTAATATAAACACACAGTATATATTATTATGTTAACAATATAAACTTTAAATACAAATCACACATAATATTATGAATTTTACATACCATTATAAAGTTATCCCTCTCTCAGCAATGAAAAATAAAAGATTAAGTTAATACTTAAATATTTAAATATTTTCAATACAATTAAATAAATTATTTTCATCAACCCAGCTAATAATAATTTAGTTTTGATTTAAAGTTTGTAGTTATAAATCAAATACAACAATTATATTACATTGTTAAATTATTTACGGGTTAAATCCAAATTATATTTCCTATTTTTAGTTACTCACACACTCAAACACACTTAAACACATAATTAATTTCTCACTTTTTTCTTATTTAGTATAGTTTCATTAACTGTACTTCTCATTCCTCAACATCAATATTAAGGTCGCCATCAACTTTTAACAATTTTGATAAGTCTACACCTAATAGTATTGATATTGATCATTTAATAGTTCAATATAAATATATATTAATTTTTTTTATAAACGATAAATATCATTTATATTATTATTGGAATTTGATTTCCGCCTCCACCACGATGACCACCAGGATTTATTATAAGCATTTGTTGTAATAATTGTATTTATGGTTGTTACATTTTTATAGGGAGTAGAAGTAGAAACTTTTGTATTTTTGATTTTTGTTTTAACACCATCATGTTTAGACCAAAATCCTCCTACTACGGTTGGAATACCACTTGTAACAGCAGAATTTAACCATAAAATACCACATCGTACAATAAATGCTGTTGTCTGTGAACTTAATAAGAGTAACGAACCTTCAAAAGCACGATTGTGATGTGCTAGCATTGTTGAAGCTGTGTTGTTCATCAGTTCTAAATCTTGTTGGTCTTGATCGAGTAATTCCTGTTGATCTCCATTGCCATTGTTTTGTTGAAGTATACATACAATACATTGATGTATGCATATATACTGTTGTTCAGTTTGTACCATCCATACACGTTCCTTGCGCATTGCATACACAATACTGTATACATCAATATAATTATTTACTTGAGTAGGGTCATTGAGCGATTGTAAAACTCTATCAAGAGCTATAAATGTACCAGATCGTCCAACACCAGCACTATAACACAATTTATAATTATATTTTAATGCGTAATTATTAATAACACTATAAATAGTATAGTAAAAAGCATCAACATATTTTCAATTAATTTTTTTTTTTTTTAAATTAATTAATTATTTTTAAATTTAAAAATCAATATAAGACATAAATTCATTAGAATATCAACTTTTAAAAGTATATGAAATAAAGAATTAAAAAAATTATATTAAGCAGTTGATTTTACCTGCAGTGCACAATTATAGGCCGATGGTGTTGCGGTAACTGATGCTGGTGAGGTTCAATTGTATTACCCACACCAGTATGATGACGTTCTCTAAACGCACGAACAAAACGACATAAAGTTTGAGGAGGACTAGGAACACCAAAATCAGGCCAAGTAGTAAAATGGAAATGTCTTATCACTCTTTTTTGATCATTCTATAGTCAAAACAAAAAAATAATATATAAAACTGTAAATTACAGATCATCAATTTAAAAGATACTTTGAATTTACTAAAAATATATTGAAGTGCTATTTTTATAAATATGTATTCCAAAATTCTTACCCGACAGACCATAAATTCAGTTATCACCCAATCAGAATAATGAGTATCATTTAACAAAGTAACACATATATTGTCACCATAATAAACAGGATGAGTATCATAAGGCCAATAATGATCACATTTTTCACGACCTTTTTCGACACATCTAGTTAACATTACTATACTCCTTGTATTGCTTTCCCAACACATGCGCCAAAAATCATCTCTAGTTGAATGCAATGGACCTTGAGTCACAATGAATTCCCTAACACTATTGTGACCCTAAAATTTAAATAATCCAATAATTATATCAATAATTAGAATGTTATAGAAATCAAAAATTTTTATGTAAAATTGATTGCACTTCTATTAAAAATCAATTTATAAACATTTTTAATGAAACAAGATTTAAACATTTCAACCTTCAATTTTATATTAAATTTGATTTAATTACCGGAACATAATTAGCATTTATATAATCGGATCCTTCTTCATCATCTACTGGTTGCAACTTAAATCGGCTGTGATCATATGGCAGAATATTGGTGAATCTATTCTTAGGACGATTACATGGTAAATCTGCTGCTGTTGTAGTAGTATTTCCATTAGCTGCTGCATCTGCAGCAGCATGTTTCAAGTCTTCAAATTCTTCAGAAAATCTGAAGTCTGAATCAGCAGACATTTGTGCATAATGCTCCACAAATCTATCTACTCTAACAGGCCGACTATTTTCCAAACAAATACATCATTTTAATAAAAGTTGTAATGCAGATCAAACTATTAACCAATATAAAATCCAATAACTATACAATAATTTAAAATACCTTATTTGTAAATCACAAGACAATTGTTGTTGTTGTTGAACACTGGAAGAATTTATCATATCACCTCCTCGGCCACCACCGCGACCACCTCCATTTAAATTTCTAGCTGATGAAGAATTATCTAAAAATTTTCCTGTGATTCTTCGTTGGCCTGTCCCAGCTTGTCTTTTACCACCAATAGTGCTCTTCATTATTTTGCTTTTGCTACCACGACAGAAAAACCAACGGCTCCGACTGCTTCCAGTAGCTAATGCTGCACAAACAGCAATTAGTATAAAAGCAGCTGGCAATCCTACAACAACTGACAGTACAATAGCCGTAGCTGATGTAGGAGTTGATGTATTGTCTTGGTCTGAAACATAAATATATAATATTATTATTAAATATATATATATATATATATATATATATATTTATATATAAATTTATTTTAATTTATTTTATTTGCATACCTGTCTGTATAGGAAATGAATACATAGTATCCGTAAATTTGTCATTTGTTGTGAACGCACGTACTTTTACACGATATGTTGTTCCTGGTTTTAATGGACCATTGCAATATTGCGATGATAATAATTTACCACCAGTTATTGCATTTTTACTGCAATGAGTATCTTGTCCAATAGTAAAATCTTCAACAGTTTTATTAGTTGAAAATGGATGATATGGGTCAAGAACCTAATAATAGATTAAAAACATAGTTTGAAGAAGAATTATATAGTTAAATTTAATGAGTTGAGAAAGCAAAATTACATATATACTTTTTTTTTTTTAAAATTTATTTGTATGATATGAAATATATGAAATTATTTTAACACCTTGTAAATATTAAGCTTTATAAACCAAAATATTTAATATCATACCAATATTCATAAAATAAAACTATTTTCTATTATACCTGATAGGGTGGCCAAATTGTATATGCTTGTGCATCCTGCCAGCTGGGCATTTCAAGACCACTAGCATTTTTAGAATCATCCTCTGCTACAATCAAAGTATATGCAACAACTCGACCATTTTGATCACCAAAGTAGTTCTTCCGGAAGCGTACCTGTATGGTATTTGTAGTTCTACTTACTTCAGTTGGTACAACTTGAGCACTTGGCTTAGGTGGTGCTATATGGATACATAAACAAATTAAAAAATATATAATATAATAACTACTAAATATAATAAGCCAAATAATATTACCTAAAATTGGCATACGCTGCTCCAAACTAGCTACAAGACCACGACCAATACGTGTCTCACCACTTATATTAAATATATATTGCCGACCAGGTATTAGACCTTTAATTATTGCCCTATTTCTCCATGGCTCATAATATGCAGTCTTAGTTGTTTCACCAAATTCAATTTCAGATCCTATAGATGGCTGGCTGCTTAATAGTCCAGCATTATTAATTAAATTATCAATGCCTATTCTAAGCATATTTTCTTCTTCACTACCATGCAATTGAACTACAGTATTTGTAGATATAGGAGAGCCATCAGAAGATGGAGAAATTACCATAGCAGTCCAAGAAATCACATAACGTAAAAGTACACCATTGTGTTCAGATTCAGGTAATACCCATTCTAAAGTTAAATGGCCAGGTTGTACATCTACTGCCTGGAAACGAGTACAGCGTCCTGGTACCCACTCCAATGTACTAAAAGTACCAGAAACTGGTACTGAACGTCTTAACAACAGTGCTGCTGCATACCCTCCTGCACTACTGTGTTGTGTTAGTGACCCACCGCCACCAGCTCGAACCACAACAGTGAATGTATAGTTACGATATGGCCGAAGACCTTGTACTAAGAACCATGGTTTATCAGTTAAGTTTTGTACAAGCAATGCACCTCCTCCATCAGAAGATGATGAAGACGATGAATATGAACTTGCAACAGATGTAGCCGTGGTAATAATCGTGGCATCAGTATCTAAATACTGAATTTCAAAAGCATCATACTGTCCACGAGGCAGTGTCCAAACAAGATGTACAGAATCACGAGTAATTTGAGTTGCATTTAAATCAGTAATTGGTTCTGGATCTGTAAAATGATAAAAATAAAATTGAAAACTATGTACTAATACTAACGTTTACATCTGTTATTTTCACTATAAAATTAATATAATATGATAATTATTAAATAAGGACAAAATTTCTAAATTGAGTGAAATTCCACAATCAGATGAGGTACAAATATGAATGAATTATATCTCTTGATTATATAATGAATATACATGAACATATAATAATATGATAATGAATTGGTTTTTTATGTTTGAAATATTTGTAGCATTTCTCTCAATAAAAATGATTCTGAGTGAAAGAGGTCGGTCGGAACAGTTTAAATTTTTAATATTCTAACTTTTAGAAAGAAAAGGGCATCTAAAATTTAAAAAAAAATCGAAAAATTCAAGTGACTATAAACATCTTAAAAAATATTTTGAAACTATGAAATGTTTTTAAAATCCTTTGATAGATACTTTGTAAATATTTGTCTAGTCTTAATTATTAAAATTTATAAAATAACATCAAATTACTAAATAACTAATTTGTTAAAATATCCGATTTCATCAAAATTTAATTTAAACATTTATAAAAAATTTTGTAGCTTTTAAATAAACATTTATATAAGCTACCAATAAAATCTTATGGAAATTCTTGTATCCAATTTTCAAGCATTAAATATAAAAATTGAAAGTTATATACATTTTTAGATACAAAATATAGCAGATTTTTGTGATTTTTTGTGATTTTTAACATTTTTTTAAAATGTAATATTTAAATTATAGTATTAAAATACAATATAATGTACTAATTTACGTAATTTTATTCATGCTCAACTTACATAGGCGGTCTTGACGTCGCAAAGGTTGACTAAGAACACCATAGGCTGATACTGTCCATACTGTTATATCATATAGACGACCAGGAACTAAAGAGTGCCAAGTAACTTTCCATTCATTGTCTGATGCCCATTTTTCAGCAATCAATACTGATGCTGCCGTTCCAGTTGATGATGTTGGTGCTATTCCAGATCCTGGGTCTAAAGTAGTAGTAGCAAATGATTGATAAACTGTAGATTGTGTTTGTGTTTGATGAGCTTCAGCTAGTTGGAAACGATACTTGATAAAACGGCTAGCGGTTTGTGGGGTTGGAGTATAACGTAAGGTTAACGTATCAGTAGCCAACTGTTGATCGTTCACAGCCAATATTTCAGATAAAATCAAAGGCACTAAAATTATAATTAAAAATAAAATATTAAACAAATATCAATAAAAGTATAATAATAATCAGTTTATGAATATTTTATAACAAAATTAAGTAAGCTATTGTTATTTATAATTAAAATTACATAATTTATGTTATTAAAACAAAATAAAGTACACATGAAACTTACTAGTATGTGCTTCCAAAAGCACAGGGTCACTGTACATAGAGTGCGAACTTGTACGTACACGTAATGCATAACCTGCACCTGCTATTAAATCATCTATACCCAAATTCACTATAACATTTCCACTAGATGCACTTGAGTATCCAGAGTCTGTAAAGTTTTTCCAACCACTATTTCCAACTCCATTAATACCCCAAGTCATGGCTACTGTATTCCAACCTATTGAGGTAGTTGTTTGATTTTGATCTGCTTGTGGAGGTGGTTTGAGGAGTGTATACTCAACAGAATAGTAATCAATTAAACCTTCTGGACGAGGAAATTGTATAGTCAAGTTTGTAGCATCCACAAGCAAGGCGATATTACTCACAGGATTTGGACCTGATAAATAAATAAATAAAAGGTAATTAAATTTTAAACATTTTAAATAGACTATAAATGAATTGGTATATGTTAACCAAGCACATGTATTATACAAATGATAATTTTAGATTTTCTTGTTTAAATGAGATAAAAAATTAACAGAGAGAAATGAAAAAATCAGTATATTGTAACATTAATTTAAGAAACAAACTCGGATTTTATTTTTGTGTACTTGTGTAAATAAATTTACGTTTTAAACAAAAATTATGTAGATATATATTTTTTAAATTTTTTATTGATAATTAAATTCAATATATTATATTTACTAACGTATTGTATAATTAACTAGCAGAGGGTAAGGCGATTCTAGAGTTCCATATGTCTGTGTGTTAACTTGAATTGTATATCGCTGTCCAGCCATCATATCTGCGATTTCTGCCTCAGTTGTTTGTACTCCAGGCAATCTAATCCATGGTTGCTGCCCACCATTTGAATCAATAGTTCGATATTTAATTGAATACTCAGTGAATAAACCTTCACCAATGGGACCATTCCATTTTAATAAAACAGAATTTGACCCCATATTTGAGGCAGCAGTTATGTTTTCCACTTGAAGATTAGTAGGAGGCCTAGGATCTATATGATTAAAATTATTAAATACTCAAAAGAAGTTTTAAAATATTTTAATAGATAATAAACTTACAAACTGCTTGAAAATAATCATGGGGTTCAGATAAAAGCCCATGACTGATTGCAAACACTTTAAGCTGATAGGCAGCTCCAGGATACAAATTTCTCAACGCCATACGCCATTCATTAGTTATCCTCACTGTTGGTATGTCATCTAAAATAAAAATAGATGAGGTCAAAATCAATATTAAAAAATTATAACTAATACTAAATATTCTACAATCATTATTATACATTAATATATCACAAACCAGTATCATTCCGACGAAGTACAACTTGAAAGGTTTCTTGTCTGCTATTGACATCTGTTTTCCAAGATACATTTAACCCATAATCCAATGTGGGCCTTAAATCTTCTATAATTGGTGCTGATGGTTCTAAACATATTAAAAACAATTTAGTTTACATTTATGCTAAGTAATTTTAAATTAATTATAAACATAATTTAACTTACTCATTGTATGATAAACAACTGTGTCATTAGAGGCAACACCTGAACTAAGTGATCGAACGGATACAGAATAATTACGTCCAGGCAATAAAGATTCTAATGTACACTCTATAGGTGTCAACGGATCTTCAATTGATTCTCTGGTTGCTTGAACTACCACAACATTACTATCGGTAGAAGTTGTTGCAGTAATAGCAGCTGATGCAACAGATACAGCTGATGATGCAGATTGTTGTCGTGAAGAACCGTTTTGTGATTGATTAAGATTATTTCCCAATGATAATACCGAAGATACGAGTAAAGAATCAGATGCAGATGAAGAAGATGACAGAGATCCTGTTATAACTTCAGCATAGCTCACTTGATACGCATCTTGCCAACTCATTGCATCCGCTTTCCATGTTAATTGTAATACTCCACCTCCTCCATCTTCATTTAAATTATTTCCATTTGTATTACCACTACTTATGACTTTCAAATCAATTACAGGTAGTGGTTCTATAAATATTTACAAAATAATTAAAATAATATAACAAAACCAATTGGTATAGAAATAAATTTAAACTTTGATAATTATAATAATAAGCATTTTTTATACATACTTAAGGTAACATTCACTGAAGCAGGCCAAGAAGCTACTTTTCCAGAAACAGTCTTCACAAGTACTTGATAAGTTCGACCTGGTTGGAGCTGTTGTGTGTCATATACATCACACCATTGAGTTGATCCTCCAGAATTTGAACTATCGCCATCACGGGGACGAGTAAGTGTTATTGGAGTAGTTGTTTGTTGTGTTTGATCACTAATACTACGATGAGATGTTGAAGGATTTGAAGATTGCTGAGATGGCCTCTTAACATTGACTGATATTTGATACTTATCAAATTCACTAAACGTAAGATAACATTTAAAAATAATATAATCAAAACATTAATTTATATTAATTTATATATATTCACATACATCTTTGTATGTAACAAATAATTAAACATTTATTATTACTAACTATTAAACTGAACGCAATTAGATAAATTGAGCAGTGTCTCAACAAATATGAATTATAAATAGATCTAAAAAATTGTTATTATCTGTAAATGTTACACCAAACAGTTAACTTGCAAATAAATGAAAAAGTAAAATAAACAAAAAAATGATAGGTTATGTTTTAAACAAGTTCTATGTATTTTTTATTATTTAAAACTAATAATTTAAATATAATCATTATAAATGTACACTTAAAATAAATAATTATTTCAATGATCAATAAAACACTTTTAAAAATTATTAAATTATTTTAAAAATATTCAATATATATATTTAAAAATATTTATTTTATTGATATTATAATTTTCCGAATATATTTAAATAAGCATATTAATTATTATTTAATTTATTTATTGTTTTTACTGTACTTTAAGAATGTTAAATTTTAAAAAGCTTACCAAAGGCCTTTAGGTGGTTCCCAGTGTACACGTAAACCATATGAACTTGTGTATCGAGGATCAACAGCCACATTCAATGGTTTTAAAGGAATAGTACGATATTGAGCAGTAGTTGGTGCTGATGTTTCATCTTCACTTACAGTATGTACACTTATGTTGTATGCACGCCCAGGAACAAGACCTTTAAATGCTGCTTGGGCTGGACCGGGTGGTTCACCTTCTCTTTCTACATATACTGTTGATTCTGGTGAATCTTGAGGCTCTACACTTACCTATTTAACACCCATAAATAATAAAATTTAATAAATACTCAGTATTAAGAATATATATATTGATATTAAATTAACTTTACCTTATAATGAGTGAATACACTAGCTGGATAACTAGGTTGCCAAAGCACTAATAATGTTGTTTCGTTTCTGAACCATACAATAAATTTTCCTGGTGTACTCGGCTCTGTAATCAAAAATAACATATTTTAGTCTTACTTAAATCAAATATTAAAATTAATTAATTACAATTTAAAGTAGTACATATGTGTCATTATGGCAGTGTTTCCCAACCTTTTTGTAATACTCACAAATTTACTGATTGTTGATAACGTGACCCAACCCTCCCCCAAAACTAAAAAAAAAAGTTAATATATAATAGTGCTTCCCGAATTTTTTCGACTCAAGGCGCCTTTTTTGATCCAAGGTTTTTTCAGGGCGCCTTTCTCTAAGTCATAGCATGACTAATCATAAGGAAAATGTTAGACCCGATAGTATTTCATGACGGCGCGGCGCCCTTATACATACATCGTGGCGTACACTTTGGGAACCTATGATATATGCGATAATATAGTATTATAAATAATTATAAATAGTACTGCCTCATGCAACTGGTCGACAGTCGCAACTCATAAAAAATATATCGCGACCAATAGGTTAAGAAACAATGCACTATGACATACTAAATATTTATAAACCATGATGCAGAACACATATTTCAGTACCTAACCAACTTCTTTCTCTAGCACACCATCCTTATCATTTTTTCAAAAACATAAATTGAAGAAAATTAAAAATTATTAAAGATTTAAGTACCTACCTATTTATATTTTACCTACTCAAACTTAAGTTTAACAAATTCTAAGAGACTTTTCCCTCTGATGTTATGATTAACTAAAAATACAGAATGTTGATCTTATTGTTTATTTTTATTGACTATTGTGTATCCTGCTACAATCATGTTCTGTGTTAATATGTTTAAACTTAAAAATGTATTATGTGCATATTTATCCAAAATATTTACACATTTAAATCCGTCCACAGACCCAACTACCCATAATATTTTCACCATTACACCTGGGCGTCATAAAAACTCCATTGTGTCATTGTATGTCATTAATAATTAACACGGTTATCTAAACAGATTAGAGCTCACGCCTATGCTACCCGTGCATTGGCTATGTCGTGGTGACGACTACGCGCAACTATAGCGCTAGGTGTACTTAGCCGTATTTTAACATAATAGAAGATAGTGTTTATAGTTTGTTCTTAACTTAAATTTTGGAATAAAAAATTTTTATGAACAAATTGTTCATAACTAAAGTTATAAATCTAAACAATTTTTATTTGATTCCATTGTTTTCAATTTATTATCTCTGTTCAGTATCTAACTCTTGAATTGTGAACTTGCAAACTTAAACAATAAAAAACCACATACGGCCAAATAGATAACTGCAGTTCAGTGGCGTAATTGTGGGGGGTAAGGGGGCAAGTGCCCCCTCTAACAATTTTTTGAGAGATAAAGGTATAATTTTACCTCCCCAGGTAATCCAACAGTACAAATAGTACCTTTTATTAATGAACTCTTATGGATTATTTAACAATATTGGTACCTAGTACCTGCTACCTACAATTTATGTTTATCTAAACAATAAAATGAGTTAAAAGACATGTAAAATCAAACAATTAGATAAAGTGTATAAATTACATACTATAAAAATATGTTTTAACTGATGAAGGGGAGGGGTTTCAGGATTTTAGTAATAATAAATATATTATATTGCCCCCCTAGATTTCCCAATCACGCCACTGCTGCAGTTTTTTGTACTTTGTATTTTTTTTTTCGTGATATAAGTATTATTAAACATTAAAAATGTAATCAATGATATGACTCAAAATAATTTAAATTCAATTGTTCTTTTCATAAAGTTAGCTTCTGAAGTTATAATTTATTACTTACAGATGAGAATGCACCAGTATACATATCAAAAAAATCTAAAATTCCAAAAAGTTGTAGGAGAAAAAGAAAAAATTGCTAAATTATACAATTCATAATTTTTATAAATATTAATATATAAAATTAATTAAAGTGCAAATTGAATACTAAATATGCTTATTTGTATGCTTACTTAACAAAAAAATAGCAATAACTAAGAATTTATTTAACAAACTTAATTTATTTTCCAGGCTACACGAATCTTCACTTTCATAGCATGACTCAACCCGGTACCAATATTCAAAACTCAAAAGTAATCATAATGACTCCTTTCCCTAATTACATTCCGATAAACAAACAATATCACTTATGTACAGTTTTGTGAAGAAATTAAAAACAAAACTGTTAAATGTTATATCTTGAAATTTTATAAATTAAAAGCAAATATATAAATATATATATAATTTATTATAGATTATATAATATACAAAATATAATATTAATAGTAATATAAATAGTATATAGTATTATAATATACCGGGCTATATACAGATAGCACAACTAGTTCCTATAGTCGCCACTTAGACATAAGAATGCGAGCTCTAACCTGTGTAGATAACCGTGATACTTAATAACTATAATATAAACACTTACTAGTAGTAAAATTTTTTGATATATAAGCTACACTTTCTTTATGGTCATATACTGTAAACAACTGTAATTGATACGTAGCTCCAGGTGTCAAATCTTTTAAAACATATTGTTGCGAATCTCTAAGTGAGTCCATTTGAGATAAAGTTGATTGAGAGCTGATAGCATCAACTATTTTCACAAACTGTTCCTGTTGTTGTTGTATTACACCAGTTGAAGATGATGGAGACAGACTTAAAACCTGATAGACAAAATAATAAAATTAGAATAATATAGATCCAATTCAAATCTAATTATGAATTAAAAAATTACTTGAATATTTAATTTGATGAAATTATTTTATTTTTAATTAAATTTTTTATATTAAATGTAATAGTACCAATAACAATGATAATATATTAAGAAAAATATTACTTTTAGCTTGAATCCGTTGTAGTTTCCCAACACTGGAGGTGACCATTGAACATGAGCTGTTTTCCCACCTTTCACAGTCACAGTTAAATTTGTTGGAGGGTCTGGTGCTGTAAATAAAATAAGTAAATAAGAAAACTATATTATTGATATTATTTTATTTATTCTAACATTATTATGTTATTGGTTTCCACCCATTTATAAATTAAATTAAATAAAATATATAAAAATACCTACATAAAATTAATAAATTTTATCTATAATTAAAATTAAAACATATATATTTATATAATATTATTTATACCAGTGGTAATTGAAGCAGTCCAAGTAAGTAACCACTGTGGTTGAGAAGATATAGAATTAGAAATAGCTCCATTTATAATATTTTCACCGCCGTTTCCACCTATTAAATTTCCTGGAGTTTGTGGTGAATTATTAATGGTTGAACTACTACCTGTGCTTGAATTACTGTAATACAACCAAAAATCATAACGGGCTCCAGGTAAAGCTTGAGAAAAATGTATCACATCGCCTGAAAAACAATTATAGTAAAAATAAACTGTGAATAAACTTATTTATAAAGTATAATAGTAAAACAACATAAAAAGCAGAAAACCATCAAGTATTTCAATACCTATATCTTGAGCAGCAATAGTTGTGTTCGCTGGAGGATGACCATAAGGTGGTTTATAATCAAACCTATAAAAAGCTTGTTGTTGAGAGGTTGGAAACGATAATGTGTTGGACGCAGGAAGTTGAATGGCTAAGTCAGCAGCTTGCTGTAAAAGTTTAAATTAATTAATATCAATTAAGTTTAGGTGTATCCCATTTGATTATAACACTTACACTTGTTTTAATAGCAAATAACAATAGTAATGTAATCCACATGTTCACAGTTATACTGAAATAAACTTACAGTAGTAAATGAGCAAAAAAATTAATATTTTTTACAGCGACTATGAAAATAAGTTTTTCTGAATGCAATGACTTGAGCAAGAGCAGTATGTAGACTGGTTACCGCTTGAAACAAAGGTGCTACATTTTGCAAGATTGTATTGATCAAATAATGTTTATTGAGCAACAGCAGCTTTGGTTTGATCACAACACATACAACAATATCCTTCGTTCATATCTCATTAACGGGTGTTGAGTCGTTGATAATGTAGTTGATATCAATGACATTGGTTTTCACAGACTATCAAATACCAGAATGAATAGTAAATTGATTTTCTTTTTGTTTGTAGGTAGAATATTCACTATTGATTCAATGTTATATATCTCCTTTTCGTATATGTAAGACGAGTATTGGCGTCCAATGCACAGCAGTAGAACTGTATGTTTGTCGACGGTTATAATATGCAAACACTCGTTGAGTCGTAACAAAATATTAACAATAATTTACACTTAATACTTAATAATACTGACACAATTACGATTACGAATACTGTTAAATGGTTTATTAATAAAAAAAAATTAATAAAAAATAAATTAAAAAAAGATACCGTGTTTTTATGTGATTTCTCACAACTTGGGCGAGAAAGTAAAAAACGATCACTGTGTGTCGTTGCACGTTACCACCACCTATGGAACGTACACTACTATGACTACCATTACTACAGGCACCAAATTACCAAACAAGTGTTGCTGCTTTCGTAATCAATCCACGGCGGATCCTTAATACATAACACACAATATACGGGCTTGCTATCATTACCTATAACAATTGCTTTCACAACAGTCGCAGCAACAGTTCTGTACCTGCGCGGCGGAGTGGGAGCTCTTCTTATCAGTAACGCGAAGTATTTTGTTTTGGTTTTCTCCGGATAATAGTTCTAGGTAAACACTGAACTTTAGTAGCTGCGGTAGTCCAACATTACGATCGTTATTGTTGTTGTGTTGGTTGATTAGCTCATTTCGAATAATTGAAACGATTACCGAAAATAATTTCTAGATAGGTAGGCAGGTGCGTATTTTGTTATTAATTGTTATTATGTTTTTCGTTAGATAATACTATAATTAATAGTTTCTACCTATATGTATACAGAATTATGCACAAAAAAAGATCAACAATCAATTTTTAATTATTATTACTATTGTTATGCACTTCCCTTTAAGAAAAATAATACTTCCTCGTAAAAATGTAAAATATAAATATTTGTGTCGTTTAAATATTTATAGCTAATTGTTTATTTGTTATGAGTGGATCTGATCATTTTAATTACTAAAAATAAAAGTTATCAACAATCGTAACACCACGAAACAGAAATTAAACAACAATGACAATTATAAAATATCTCAAAATATAAACGATTCTTATTACCCATCGGTCATTCATTTGTACTTTTATACAGTAATTATTAAGGCTGTTGTTTTAAATTATCGATAAAGAACATGAATGTGCAGTGCCGGATTAAACATTTGTGAGCCCCTAGGCAATTAAAATGTTGGGGCCTACAAAATAATTTTTTGCATACATTATTAACATTACTATTCAATAATTAAAATAAACAGCTTTAATAATAACCAACTATTATTTATAAACAAAATCGTGTTTATTGATTTTTTTTTTATTTGCAAGAAAAATTAATAAATTATTGTATTATTTCTATTTTTTTTTTTCAAAATAATTGTATTGTTATTAGGGATGGGCCAATACCACTTTTTACCGATACCCGATATACCGATATATACAACCGATATAAAACCGATACCCGATATTATAATCACAGGTAAAAACTAAGTTGATTTTTAATATATTACATAAAAAAAATCAACTTTTTTGGCAAAACCATTAACCGATACCAAAATTAATCCGATACCCGATATTATAATCACAAGTAAAAACAATCTTTAATATATTACCTAAAAAAAAAAAATCAACTTTTTTGGCAAAACCATGAACCGATACTAAAATTAATCCGATACCACAAACCGATAAAACCAATACCCGATATTATAATCAAAAGTAGTTTTTGCGGTATCAGTTCAAATATCGGTTTTGAAAATAAACCGATACCGATATTTCCGATACCACCAATATCGGCCTAAACCAAGTATCGGTTCTAGGATCGGCCCACCCCTAATTATTATTACTGCCTTTAACACCTACAACTTAATATATATATTATATTTCATAATGACTTTTGTCCCGTAAATTCGTAAATAAAATGCATTATTAAATTTAAAAAAATATAGTTCTCCGTTTTCACAGGGCCCCTTAAATGAATGAGGCCCTAAGGCGGTCGCTTACTCCGCCTAATGGGTAATCCGGCACTACAGTTACATACTACAGCTACTTCGATTTTATATGAAATTAAATAAAAAACTTTCATATGAAAACGAGGAAATACAGAACTTGGTTAGACCACATAACACAAATGTTTATCCTACGTTGTTTTACTTTTCAAACGGAATACTCATGATGCACATTTAGAAATTTTATAAACAAGTTACAATGGATATTACGAGCCTTGAGCAGCAGTGTATGGATTACTGTAGCTAAGATATATGAGTTGGTCGTATTACTAGTATAGATTTGAAAGCCATGATGAATCATCAAATTAAAAAAACAATTCAAAACGAAGGTTAAAATAATGTACAACATAGTACTTGTTGTGCATTTTATTACAAAACCACTCTAATTCAAATAGTTTGTGTAATAAAAAAAATAGTATACTTTTGTATTTTACAAGATATAAACCAAAACTATTGTTCCTAATAATTTCATAAAATAAATATTTACAATTCAAATAAATTCTATTAAAAATTGTTTAATTAAAAACATTTAAGTACTGTTCAAGACTGATTTCCAATTATTTGTATGCGATACTGTATAAGATTTTGTTAAACTACTGATTAAAGAAGTTGTATGAAAAAAAATATTATTTTATAACCAACGTATTGGTTTGTTATTTGTTTAGCCTCCATAAGAACATACATGTTTCCATCATCCTCACCGACGATATTTTAGAAAATTATTTTTCAGATATTTTTTTCGTAATTTCTTTAAATTTGTTTGTTTATTATCAGAATTTGTTCGACAATGGTTCTTATACAATATCAAAAACTATGAGAAGGTGTGGGGGACATAAATCAACAGCCATATTAGTTTAAATACCTCATTTTTTTTACGATCATATTGTTTGCTATTTGTTTGAATTTGAAAATTTAAATAATCTTCTCTTTATCCCTACTCTCGTAGTTATAAACAAAAAATCACTGCTTATTTGTATTTTATTATGTATATTTGTATGTGATATTGCGTGTATTTAACTCATTCAACAAAATAAACAATGGCAGCAGAAAAGTAGTATTGTTCAAACAGAACCTCCTCTACTGTCGGTTAAACAAGAGGGGGAAAAAATTGATAACAAATTAATTGAAATACAAAATAACAAATTTAAATTACTAAAATATGAAAATAAAAATAGTAGATACATTAAATCAATATAACAAATATGCATTCATGATATACGGACATACGTAGGTATATCATACTTAATATATCATACCGACATACCTAATAACCAGGGCTCGGAAGTTCTAGCAAATGCATATTTTTATTGGTTCGTCCTAGAACATCCAAAGTAAGATACAAATATGTTTCACACTTCTCTGATGTCATACACGAAATTTTATTTTGCTATTTTTTGCATATTTACGGTTTTTACTGTTATTTTGCTAATTTTAGGTTTTTAGTGCTACTTTTGGGTATATTTTCACATAAATACATATTATAGGAGGTATTTTGCTAATTTGGAGTTATAAATGCTGTTAATGGGTATATTTAAGGAAATAAACACATATTGTTGAAAAACTAAATTACCTACCAAACAGCCGCCTACGAATATGTGTACGAAAACAAATTGTTTTATTTTAAGATGTTACGCATCCGGAATAAACGGCCTTAGACCGTTGTTATCGTCGATTAAATAGGACAATTCCGTTCATTTCCAATAATTTAGTTATTTTTAAAATTGTATCAAAATATGAACTGCAGTTATCGAATTCGTCGTATTTACGTAAGATACGGCGTTATCGCCGTACGTAAAGACCTATGATTTTATTTTAGTTGTCTGCGTTCTGCCGTCATTTGCGTGTTGCGTGTACGTTTGATCGTGAACTATCGTATTTATGGTGTTTAAAAATGCCTAAAGTTAAACAAAATTTGTCAAATTGGCTCCAAACCTATGTTAATTTATATGGTCCTAATATTTTTTCAATTGATAAAAGTATATTATTTTGTAAAATTTGTGAAGTCAAAGTTAATTCTAATAATAAATTATTAGAAACTTAATTGGTAAATAGTACATTTTTAATATAGGATATATCTGCCAAGTATTCAACAATAGTTGATTATGACTATCCAGTGGAAAATATCTAACAATTAAATGCTTTATTAAGTCAATGGGGATTAAATTGTTTATAAAAAACATGTTTAAGTAATTTTAACATTGTTCATAAATACGGTTCTAAAATGTTAAATTTGTATATTTTATTTTCTATGTACTGTAGTCTTCCAGAACAGATTAAACAAAATTTAAAAGGCTACATCAACCCAGGAAATAATGAAAGAATTGAAGAGCTATAAGATAGCAATAGGTTATAAATTAGTATGTAAAATTTATTTATTTTATTAAATTTATAAAAAAAATGAGTTAATTTTAAGCAATCAGATTCTAACTGTATGACATGTAAATAAGTATTAAATTTTATTAATTATGATCAATATCATAAGTAAATAATAACAAAAAGTAGGTAGATAATAATTTATAAACATTGATAAAATTAATATACACCTATTAATATAGGTACCTATAGTATAAATTGTAGCTCATGTTTTACATTGTAATTATATAAGTACCAAATAATATAACCTAACTATCAAACTATCTAACTAATAAAATATTATAAATCTATTTATCTGTATAGATGTATAATGTTATTTAAAAAGATGACACATTAAAAACATCAACTAAATATCTTTGCTTGTTGAAATTTTTACTATATTTTGAATATTTTAAAAGATTTTGGTACTATATACATTTTTTAATCGTTCTTTACATAACTTAAAAACTATGACATAGATGAATAGGTATAGCCTACACATATATATCTATATACTGAGTATACCTTATAGTGTTTATTACATCTATACAGTTAGAACTATATCATGTAAGATTACTAAAGCATGATAAATCAAATAAAAATAAAAATAAAATATAGTTTCATTCTCGTTAATTTTTTATTTGTTTGCTGTAAATTGGTTTTAAAATACAAATAAAAATTTTTTGGTTAGAAGTATTTATCATGACTGTAACAAAATGTATATTTCATAATTATTTACTTATTTATTGCGAAGGAGCTAGAACTTTTAAAACAATTGATTCGGCCTTAATTAGAACACACGTTAACTTCGTATTATAAATTTGTTTTAAAAAAGATGATGTTGATATGAATTATGTACAGTTTTATGAAATTAAAATATCCCTTTTTGAGTCGTTATATGTCTACCATACTTTCGTCAATGGATCCATTCAAATTATTCATTGAAAAATAAAAAATTACCTTTTCATGTTATGCTGCAGTAAATAATGACAATAAATGTTTTTTTGCTTTAGTAGTATGTTGTTGTATTTCTCCAAATCCACCACGTTCTAAAGAATATACCGATTTACATGTTATACAAAACACTTCATCTAAGAAAATTGTGATTCTAAGTTTGTTGAAATATTATCGCCTTCTTTTTGGCATTTTGAGAAAAAAATGTTTTTGGAATCCTACTGTTTATTTTAAATTACGCCACTAAGCCAAACACTACCACTACGACGTACATTACGTATAGAAATATTAAAAACCAGTTACATTTACAAATGTACATAGATATGATATTGTGAATTATATATAAAATATAAATATATACTATAGTCTGCAACATGCACACATTTGATAACGAATTAGCTATGACTGGTGGGATTGTACTATTAAACAATTATTAATAGATAAAATCAAATTATACGAAAATATAATAATTATACTAATATGTACGGTTTACGTCACTGATAACAAGGTGACACAACAATTATGGCCCAAACAAGAATCCAAAAATACCACTGAAAAGTATAGATTCTGATATTCTATTAAATAATATTATACAAAAATATCGTGAAAAAACGATTTTCTTATAAAATAAATGAACAGTAAAAAAAAAAAGGGGGATTAATTCAGCACAGGCTTGAAAACAGAGGTGATTTGAAATTTTTCAGTTGGTGGTTCAAGAATAGTTAAAACCACCCACCCACCTATCTAAAAGTCACACTGCAAAACCTTATTTAATTTTATCATTTTTTTTTTTTTTTTTTTACTATTATTATTTATACTAAAATTTGCTAATTTTGATAATTGATGTATTAATTACTGAATTCTAAATAACCAAATAAACAATTTGACATCATAAACCTATAGATATAAGATAAAATTAGTTTAATATAATAATCTAGCGGACAACATGTTGCATGACTAACTAACTTTAAATTAATCATGAGGCATTGTATTTCATTGTTTTCTTTAATAAGTAGGTAGGTATATACTTTAATTATAAATGTATAATAATAAATGTTATCTTTATAGTTTTATATGATTAAATAACACAACATTTAATCAATATCCATAATATTTGATTTAAATATTGTTATTTAATGACTGTCTGAATAATATAATTTAAAATGTTTATTAATTCTTAAAGAATATATAAATACTATAACTATAAACATACCTGTTTTGTCAGGAATATTAAGTACCGTAAATTAATTTGATTTCTCCTTATCTCCTATATAAGTGTTTAAATATTTGGTTCCACCACAGCTACTTGCATTTGATACATTTAAAATTACCATTATTAACAAGACATTCTAGTTCCATACAACTTTTAGGTTCCGGTTTCGTTAGGGACACTATAAGTAATAGTTTATTAGATAATTAAAGATCTTAATAACTTATTGACATAAATTTAAAATTTTAAGAAAAAAAAATTTATAATTGCATACTTGTTTTGTCAAAACTCAGTACAGCTGGTAAATTCGGTTTCTCTGGATCTTGGTTATCTACATTTGAATATTCAACTTCCATACAGCTATCAGCATCTGGTTTCTTTAGACACACTATATAAAACTGATCAATATAAGATAACATATTGTTATTATTTATACATAATAAATATAGTTATATTAGGTCATAAGCTATTAGGTACCAATGTGAATAAATACATTTATACATAAACCATATTTCATGTAGGGTCCCTATTTTAGAACATATTTTGATATTCGTAGATTTAACAATAAATGAGAAAAATTTTGATTTGATTTTAAGTGACCATAAACCCAGTAAATAAAAATTAATAATTTACTTAATGTTCTTAACATAATTCTAAACTAAGTACATAATATAACTATGGTTAAGGTTAATATATTTTTACTAACTAAATTAAATAGGTAGGTACTAGAAAAATAGAATTTATTTCAGTCATTCACAAAATTTACAAACTAAAATCTAAATATTTAAAAAAAATTAAAATTATAAATCAGATACTTACCTGAGGTACAAGGTTTATTTATTTTAATAAAAAAATTTAATGTGTCCAGGCTTTTATTTGCCCCTTTAAATTTCATTTTGCATGAATTAACATGCCGATTCCAATTTGTGGAATTAATTAATAACGAGTCTATAATAAAGTGGACACTACAATATTAATCTAAAACGTAGACAAATAACATTTCCGAGAAAGACCCATAGGCTATAAATAATTATTTTCATTTAGTCTGTGGAATAACCATGACTGCGATTACATTATCTCTTTGGTTCACATATTTTAAAAGAAAACACTGGATATCAGTGGCAAGTGCAATACCTCGTGTAAGAAAGGCCTTGATTAATTTGTCCCTGGGGCCCTTGATTTATCTCCTCGGCCCTGACAACTGGACACAAAGTTGAAATATGAAAAAATCCCCGTTATTATTACGTTCCTTAAGAAATTAAGTATTAATTTAAAATATAAAAAAAGTTATTATTGTAAATTGTATACATGTATCAGTCAAAATACAAGCCGATATACAGGTTCAACTTCCTCTCCTCTAGAACTTTTCGGTGAAGATTTCATCAAGTTGCAAACTCCTTAGTTAGTCTAAAGTTTCTTCAAATAATTTTGTGAGAGTGGCCATTTTTTATCGACATTTGTGATATATTGCTTTTCTTACTGATATTATGTCATTACACATAATTATAATAAACAATTCTAACTTCCTTAGTTCCGATCTTATTATCTTAAGAAGTTTGTACGAAAGAGATTATTCTGCTCGTCGTTTGCAGTTTTCTCTGAGAACTTGCATATCAATTTTTGATTTCGTATCTTCAGTATGATTTTGACTACCCAAGAAGTCATAAACCACAGTTTTCTCAAGTCCAGAATAAATATGCATGGTACAATTTTTATCTTTTGAACATCTACACTTAAAAACCCGTCTTTTTTCCTACACCCGACAAACCTCTACTTCATAAAATTCACTACTGACAATTGTTTACCTCGCTTAAAATTAATTATTTGTATATGTAAACCGATCATTTTTCGACAGTACAAAACAATGTTTATAAGTATAAAGTATGTCACTAACTAAATGCATAATGCAAAATTATAATCTGTGTATGTCATTAGTGTGTTTAGACATGGTGGCCGAGGGGGCACAACAAATTTTTAAATCATGAGACTTATTTTTTTTTATTTATTAAACATGAATAATAAAAATACATTTAAAACTCAAATAAAAACACGTACATGAACTAAACTGTACTGAAACTATCGGTTCCTAGGTAATGAGTACAGATCACATGACTTTTTTATCCTGGCATGATTTAATTGGAGGCACATTCCGTCGGAAAAACATCGTGCCATTTTCGTTAATTTTTAAAAAAAAACACTTACATGTTTTATGAGTACTCCATATCCACTTAACTACAGTATTTGCTAACGATTTCTGTTGATGGAATTTCGTACCTTCAACGATTATCATAGGTTTGTCTTTCTCACCTACCACTGTTTCATATTCAATATCAACCATACTGCAATAAATAAAAGAACGGACGAATAAAAACGTAAAAAAAAAAAACAACCGAAGCACTTCCGTGAATTGCTGAAGAATAACTGACGCCTCATATAGTCTCATGTTTCCATATTAAAACGATTTAATACGATTTCGTAATGCGGAATATCAACTATTAAACTATTATTAGAATGCCGATTAAGCGATAACGTTATGAGCTCTACTACTATAATATAATACTATATAGTAACTAAGATATAGATCAGTGGTAATAAAATACGATAAGAAAATTATGTTAAACTTTTGTGTTACACTGATATAGGTGGATATCCATTATCATTTCTACTTAGCCGGGACGGAATTCGGTCATTTTCAGTAGCCCGGCAATTGCCATTTATACTAAGTAAAAAATGTTAACTTTTTCCTGCATAAATTTCCAAAAAGTTACTTAAAGTCCTAGAAATTTACACTTGGCGCAGTTACGCCTATCCACTAACGATGAGATGTTTCAATGTTCATATTTAATTATCAATACACTTTATAACTTATAATTATTATCATGAAGTACGTACAGTTCTCGAGTGAATGTAAAGCAGCTCGGTATTTTAGGTCGATCCAATACACGAGTAAATGTAGATAGGTGCGGAAATTTGTATCCGACCGATTTTGATTGTTTGATAGATTCAACGTCGTAGAAATTATGTAAAATTAAACTACGAAAATATAATTGTAAATACGGTAAAACTTCATATTTTTTAATGTTTAGTATTATATTTTGATTTTCACTTATATTCAATGGAATAAACATGTTGTTAATTAAAATTATCTACAAAAAAAATATGTAAGAAGTTCCCACTTTTGAAAACTATGTTTAATAATTATGCGTAGGTACAAAAAATATTAAATAATTTCCAATACACTACGAATCACGATTGTAAAATTTATGATTGCAGTAAAAAAAAATACATGCGTACAATATTGAAAATCATCTATAGAATAAGTGATAAACATGCATTGTAAGATAGATTGTAATTTATAGTTTAACACTGTGGTAAAAAAATTGTAATGCACAGTTCGCAACATGTCAGTTCAACGTCTCGATAAGTGTACGGCGACTAAACGAACTATTGATGTATATAGATACTGTGTCATCAATCATCGCTATATCATTATTACGATGAAATAGCCTTTGAATTACTGTGCGTGCGCATTTCATAATAGTATATTTATTATAATAAATTGGTCATGGTTATCGCCGTACATGCCTATGACTTATGTTGTAGTGCCTGGCACGATTATTGATTTTGATTCCAATTAACATGGCTCATACAAAATGAAGCGAAGCCCCTCGCTCAATATGCAGTACCTTGACAATTATAGCTGTAGTCTATGACCGGTAAATAAATTGTGCCCAAACTAAATAATAATTTAAGTTTACTAATAACAAGTTATTTATAATTTCTTACGTGTTAATGCCCGACGTAGAACCATTCTGAATATTTTTAGGGGAAAATTAATTCGGGGGCTGTACCGACAAACAATATAAAAATGTAATGTTTTATTATGTAATACATCGTTACGGTTCCACGGATCAGTCTAATTGAGTTGCAATGACCGATAACCCGATGACGCGGGTGGTACGTTAGGCCTGATAACAAGCGCTTTTTCTGTAGGGACGGGGAATTTGCTAACATTTAACCCGATTCGAGGGCGATCTGTCGATATTTACCCAATAAATTGGATAAATTTATTTGTAATGCTAAAACCAATTTATGGGTATCAAAATACTTTTTTATGATTGTTTCCTGACTTTTTACATGTTTTTCCAAGTCTGATGATTTGAGTACATAAATTATATTTATGAAGTTTTTATTAATTTTATTCACTTTGAAATAACAATTTTAATGGGGAAACAAATAAATCTATGAATTTAAAAACTAACCAAAACGCTTCAAATTTTTAAATGAAATTTATTTAACAAAAATAATTATGTTTGACAGTAAAAAAAAAATATTTACCCAAATTCATGGTGGGTAAATATTATAGTGGGCAATTACCCGGTAAATACCCAAAATTTTTTCCTACCCTTCGGGTATTTACCCACGGCACATCAGTAGTCGAAGCATTGTCGTCGACAAAACGTGTACGAGCCTCAAACAAACAATGCGTTCGCTAATGAATTATTCGATGTACGGCATATATATTATACGGTACGAGGTAAGTTATTTCCGGTACCCGATAGACGGGCGAACGCAACAGTAGTGCGCGTCCGTACCGGTACCGATTTTTCCCGGTGCCAAACGAACGAAACGAATTCGTACTGCGAACAACATTTCTTCCGTCTACCGGTTTCGTGCGCTACGACGGTCTCCCGCACCGCGGTGCATCACGTAATCGTCATCGTCATTGTTTCGTGATGTTCCTTTGTCGTGCAGCAGCTGTTTTTTTTTCCAAAAGGCCGTTACGCGCGTGCGCCGACGTCCCCTCGCTCGGTCGCCCCGTTTCGTACCGCTCGCACGCGCCTTCCATCACCTCTCACCCGGTCCACCCGCCCTACCCACGCCGCTTACTCTAGCACGCTCGCTCGCTCGTTCGACGCACACAACAACAACAACAACAACAACAACAACAACATCAACAACAACGAAATTAATATTACCCGCACGCGCGCGCCGTTGGTCTCGCACGCTCGGATTGTGCGCGAAAAATTAAGCGCACGCACGCGCACACCGATGGTGTCCGGTGCCCGTAGCGTTGCGTCGTTGGTGCGGGCGAAACGGGCGAAGCGGGCGGTGGCGGTACCGCCGTTTGAAAATATTACGGGAAGCGAACCCGTACACACACATACATCTCTGCGATAACGCGACGGCGGTACCTACGGTGTGATTGTGTGGTAATAACAAGAAATCAAATAAACAGTCAAGGTCAACCTCTCGCGCACCGATTTACGTAGTTTTGTTTTTGTTATTATTAGACGTCAGCGGCGCTTGGCATCGATTGTAAATTGTGCACCGAAATCTTGGCGGTCGTTTTATCGCGTCCTATTTTGCCGTCTGTGTGCGTGCGAGCGTCCGTCCGTGCTTGTAAACAAACAAGAAACGTTCATTGGACAACTAACACGAACGAGCCCGAAGTTATTCGTTTCATTTGTACACGCTTTTTTTGTACGGCGTCGTCCTGCGCGTTAGACGACTTACGTTGTTTCATCTGCGATCCCTCCGTTCGTCAGGGCTTTCGCGCGAATCGATAACGCCATTAACGCTCTGCCCGTCGATTATCGTTCACTAGCGGCGCTGCACCGTTGCTACAGACGAAGTCATCTGATCATCTGGTGACCGCAAATTACAAGAAGATGAATCGACCCGTCCGGATATCAGGCGACGTTATTGACGTTATTTACTGTTCTCGACAACAACAGTGGCATCGTCTGCAGAACCGAACAGTGTAAGAGGCAAAAGCGGTACGTATCCAGTTACAGTATCCGTTAACAATGAAGTTGTTGGAGAGCTCGCAACTGAACGACTTGTCAAGGGCACTGTGCGTGGACCGAGGAGACGTCAAAGTCTTAGCTAGGTGCTTAAATTGTTTATTCCTTTTCATATATTTCTTAGTGTTCATTCCCATTGCTCAAATCTATTAATATGCCATGTTAATTGTTTTTGATTGTTACAATATAGAATTGAAAGTTACTCGTGTAAAATGGTGGGCGATGAAAAACATAAATACAAGAAGTTTTATTCCCAAAGTGGCACACAGCCAGGTGACCTTGAAGCACTGGGTTGTTCGCCCAATAGTGATCCAAGATATAGCAGAAGGTAATTAAAAACATTGCATGTATATTTTCATTTGTTTAACAAAATTACATAATTTGACCCACATAATTTTATACTATTGCCCATAAAATCTAAAATATACAGTGATTATGTTTATAAATAAAACAGTGAAACTACTCGTAATATTTTAAGATTTTTAATTAGTCTTAACATTTGAATTTGTTTCAAATAATGATTCTGTTCTATTTTCTAATATAATTTCATAGTTATAAATTTGTCTTTTTCTTTTTCTTGTTTGATATTAATTTCACTTAACTAAATAATTTCACGGTAATTTATTATTTTTACAATTTTAAATATTTTTGAACAAAATTCCTTTAAATATATGATAAGTTTCATTTATACAAATGTTATAGAAATTACTGAACAACAATTAAAAACTGGTATACTTACAGGTAACATATAGAAATATAAATGTAAAATATTTAAGTTATAAAGTCTATATCTATAATATAGACTATAAATAACTTATTATCATGTTATAACCATAGTAGTTACTTTGATTATTCTGTTACTCGAATATTCAATACTTATTTATTAATTATTATGTATTAAATATTAATGTATTAAAACTACAGTTAATAGTTTTTAATTTTTATCAATATTTTCCCTCTCTCATTAATTACTTGGCAATATAAAAAAACCTTATTCTATATTTTTATTTGAGTAGTCTTTTAGGAGTATTTTTAAAATAAATAATTATTTATTTTTACAATTATATTTTGAAATCATTTGTGTATTTTATTCAATTTTTTTTTTATATCAATTTATTACTTTATTTATAAAAAAATTTTCTATATGAGCAAAGAACATAATATTCATTTTTTTTTAATTTGAAATTAAAATATATAAAAGATTATGTTTACTTTATAGTTTGAGTGTATCTGGGGATGAAGAAGTATTACTATGTGATACAATATCTCGTAAATCTTTGTTTTACTTGATTGCCACACTTAATGCCACATTTGCTCCTGACTATGATTTCACAGATGCCAAGTCATCAGAATTTAGTCGAGAACGCAGTTTACAGGTTAGATATAAATTGTAAATTCTATTAGTATAAATATAAATTTATTTATCATATTAAATTAAGTCTTCTCTGATATCAATAATATTAAGTAAAATGCATAAATAAAATATAGATATTTCATAAATGAGATAATTAATTTAATAATTCAAAATTTTCAGTTAAATAAATTTAATAACATGATTTTAGTATAAAAATATATAAATAAATAATATTAAATTAAAATAGCTCTCAAAATATCTTTTAACAATGAATGTGAACATATCTTCACCTCAGTTCAAGACTGCAATAACTCAAATTATGAAACTACTGGTTCTAGGATGAAATAAACAACCTCTAGAGATGAATAATGAAACTAAAAGTTATTGTGTTTTAGAATCGAAATCGTCGTAATTTTGTAAATAATATTATGTAAATAACTCAATTTGGAATATTTTCGAGTTATTACTATCTTAAACTGAGGCGTCGATATCTCAATAATAGTTTTTTTTGAGTTATTGCAGTCTTGAACTGAGGCGACGATATGTAATCTTATATAAATTAATTTATTATTTTTAAATTTGTAAAAACTTTAACTCAAATATATATTTCTACTTAAATATTAGTAATAAAAGACAAATATGATTAAAATTAAATTGATAAAAGTATTTTAATAGAAAAATAGGTTAATCATTTTTTTTTTTTTTTTGATCTAATGTTTTATATTAGTGAGTATATTACTTGTTGTACTAAACTGATAAATTTTAGAGTCTTAATTATTTATTTTACACTATTACTTAATTTATAATATTGAATATATTTTATTTATAGTTATATTTTGAATTTTAGGGACCTTCATTTCTGAATTGAAATGTTTCTAATTTATTTAAAATAAAGTTATTATTTTACCTTCTAAAATGTAATATTTTTGTATATAATATTTTTAAAAATATTATTTAGTGGGTAATGCGAGATGTGGATAATAACTTATCAGCAGTTATAGTTGAACCTACCTTATCAGCATCCTGTAATAATTCCAATCAAAATATTATGATGGCCCACTTACAAAGTGCTGCTTCTACCAAAAATTATTCACAGTTACGTGACAAGCTATGGGAAGTGATAGACAAAGAAATTGGAATGTCACAATGTGACATTTACAGGTAATAATTTTTTAACTGAAAATTAAAATATAAATATTTATTTATGTTATTTACAGTTATACACCAGACATGCGTTCAGATCCATTTAGTGAAGATGGATGTCTATGGTCATTTAACTATTTTTTTTACAACAAAAAACTAAAACGAATTTTATTTTTTACTTGTCGTCGCATAATTAGGTGAGTTATAAAAATTAAATTATTTGCATTTATATAACTATCAAGGAATTTTTATTATATTCATATTTATAAACTATTTACTTCAAAAATAGAAATGTATTTTGTACATTGTACTTGATAGAGGATTATTAAATAAACTGAATTCATTTTTTGAATTTTAGTTCTTCATACCCAATGGATTTTGATGGATCAATAGGAACTGGATCAGACTCTATGTTTCAATCTGACTATTATGATGATGAAAGTACTGATAATAATAGGCGTTATAGAGAACGAAGTCCATTAACTAGTAGCCGCCGTTAAGTAAATATAATGGTAACTTGGTGGTCGAATCAAAACAAAAATTATCTTTTTTTTATGCTTCTAATATATATTTAGTTTCCATTGTTCAAATACTATTACTATGAATACAGCTTTTATTTAAAAAAAAACAAAAAAAAATTCTGTATATTTATGTACAATCATATTTTTTCATGATATTTACAGAATACTCTTATTTTAAATTTTACAGTAATTATATATTATATATAAAATACCGGCCCTATCCTAACATTCTTTCTTATTATTTGTACACTTAAATGAGAACCCATATACTTTTTGTTAAATTGTATAATTTAAGTGATGAAAATTGTTTCAAAATATTTAGTTCCTTAATATTTATTTAATATATTATATTTATTCAAATATAACCTGATATAATTAATGTATAAAAGTAACAAATAACTTGATTATTTATTCAATATTTATATTGGTACATCACTTTTTCTGGTATTAATATAAAAAAATAACATTGAACAAATTTGAATAATACAAAAAAAAAATATTTTTTTAAATTTATTAAAAATAAAAATAAACTGTAATGGTTTGTTAGAATATTAATATCTTCAATATAAAAAATTAGTTATTAATTTTAATAAAAATATTAACTAATTAAAAAGTCTTGATGAACTAAAAAATTTTAATAAAACTATTTTAATGTTTTAATTGTAAACCACAATGATTTCCTAACAATCTATCATATTAATTTTATAAGCTTTATTTCTTTAATTGTGCTTATAAACATCAGAACTTAATTACTAAAAAATAATAAGTGCATACTGTAAGAATTGAACTATACTAATAGTCTTTTTAAAGTAAAAATATATAATATCAGTAGAGGAAGTATCTAATAATCAAAAGATATTATTAAATAGTGAAATAGTTGTTATATTGATTAATGTTTAGTTATGATTGTTGGTTTACCAGTCAGTTATGTTATTGACTATTGTGAAAAGCAATATTGATAATTAGATCATTTTGTATTGATGTTTGATTTCAGATATAATAATATTAATATTACGTCTTTAATACATTTTTTGAAAACCATTGGACAATGATTTTTTTATTTGGAACCAATTAATCAATCTAATAAATTTACTGGTAGTCAACTTAATGGCTATCAGAAAAATTGAGTAAATATTTTGAGTTATTTACTTATAAAGATTTAGAGCCATTTACTCAAACAGTTGATAAAATTTGACGTACCATGTTTTCCAGAATTCAGTTATGTTTAACTAGTAGACATCGACTGTAAAATAATAATATTTGGACTTCATTTCTAATAATTGTGATGATATAGTTTTTGTTTGCATAGACCTTACTCCATAGCTTAAGTTTTACAGTTGACTATACTTGTAGAATAAATTATTCAAATGATAAAAATTAGTTTTATATCTAAATAATAAATGATTATCTAATAAGTAATTAAAAAAAAAGCCCAAGTCTATTTGATTGTTTCTAATATTTTATCAGTAAGGATGGCATATTATAGAATTTTCTAATTATTATAGAATACTAATAAAATATAGTAAGTTATGTATTTTATTTTTATAGATAACAAGGATTCCAATTCTAAAATTAAATATTTCATTTTTTATGTATGTTTCATAGTGATATTCTTTTATTTTTTTGATGATACATTTTTGCTTATATGTATCAATTGAATTTTTTAATGTTTCATAAAACTCGTAATTTAAATTTAAATTTTAGAAAAAAGTGTTATGGTTGAAATGGAAAAATTCTCTTATTTTTATTCATTATTTCTAAATGTATTAAACCATAACTAATTAACATATATACATAGCTGACCATGAAATTCTTTGCTATTCCTAGATTTTATTATGTATTATTGTCTTGTCTTCATACAAGTAGGTACATATAAAAATTGATGATCTGTATGCAATATTAAATCTAGATTTCATTGTAAAAATATTTGGAAAAATGAAAGATTCTTATTTTTATTGATGATATTTGTTATTAATATTGTTCAAACTTTTTAGTTAGTTAAAAAATTCAGCAAACGTAATTTGACATTTGCCAACAAAATTATAACTGTAATAATAATTTGGATTTTTTTCATTCATCTTACCAATCCATTTATTTGAAATATATCATCTGTAATTTATATATAAATTTTTTAAGTAGTCAATAGAAGTGGAAAAAAATTAACATTTTTAAATACGGTGGAACCTCGCTATCTCGAACCCCGGTATCTCGAAGTTTCTGTTAGTCGAATTTTTTTTTTCAATCCCGATCTTTCAGTATTCTTCTTACGTGTTAAGTTATTTCGGTATATCGGATTTCCATTTTTTGAATTTTTTTGTAAGTTGAAGTCATTATTATCCAGTACCCACTACCTGTGATTCACTAACTCGAATATATGATAGATTAGATAAAGTATAAAATGCCTAGACTATAAAATATAAGATAAATGACAGAGTTTGTAGACACAATGTTATAATAACGTTGATATTTAATTATAGTTCAGCTAGTGAC